CAGCCATTGAGGTTGACGGCTATTTAGTAATACGATGCATCAATAAGAAAAGCGATATATGTATATGATTTTCCCCTTGCTGCTTATCGGAAAATCTATCGATGGAAATGAATAACCAATGCTACAGTGAGCTCAGCTTGTTGCGCAATCGAGATTCAACTCTTTCTCCAATAAGGACAAAGTGAGGATAGTGCATGGCGATAAAGGCTTGCGCAGTGGAAAGAACTAGAGAGAACTAGAACAAAGTTTTAATTTAATGATAAATCATTTTTTGAAAATTAAATAAAAATAATATTATAAATGCAATTTTCGAATATTAATATTAAAAAATATGTATAATACAAAAATAAAATTAAAGGCTAAAAACTAATAATATTTCTCTCCTTACAGATGTCTTCGACTGTAAGTGGCGCGAACTGAAAGAGAGCCAGCATTAATGGAAAAGGAGAGATGCGATTCTTGCCCAATCATTAGGAACGAAGCAATGCTAAATCAAAACGTTTTAAAGCAATAATAAAAGAAATCTGAAAATGTTTAAAACTAATCAAATCAATGATCCATCACTGACATATATAATACAAGAATTCGCCATATAATTTCAATAACCTTGAATAACGGGATCAGTGGAGAACCAAGTAGCAGAAGAAGAAGAACCATCAATATTTGTTGTAATTCAATTATCAGTAAATTTGATTGCAACACAAAAAGATGCCAGTCATTGAGAGGAAACAATTTCTTCTGTGGGCAATCATCATGACTTTTGTGCTGCTGTCTGTGACAGGTCTGGATGCCGTCTCTGGCCTGCAAGGCGCTCCAACATGGATGTAAGTGCTCAACAATATATCTCTATATATGAAATATGAATATATGTACATACATCACAAATACATACATACATACATACATACATATGTGTATATGCAGCTGAATATTGCAGTCATCAAACGGTGTATTGTCTATTCGAATCAATGAGACAGACTGTACTCTAACTAAATGTGGATAGGGAGTTGGGAGCATAGAGTGTTGTGTATTGTGTCTTTGAGTACTTAACTATAAATATTTATACGATCAATTTAAATATCATATCATGTATAACAAGCATATTCCAATACATATCGTATAGCACCGTTACTGAAAACACGCATTCTTGTATGGAAATTTACGCAGTTTATCGAATTGCAATTCTAATAAGAATTCACTAATGTAATTTCCACAAGTCACAAGCCATATCAAATTAGACTACGCTATTCTCGTAATCCTATTGGCCTCATGCATCCAGTAAATAATTCTCATTAAAAACTATTTGCCTATTTTATTCAAGAATTGTTTATATTTATATTTTATAGTGTCTCATTATCTCTCTGGCGATTTGTTGTTTTACAAATTCGCACAATTCGCTGTTTATTAACTAAATAATGAATAGTGACTTACGTAGTATTTTTTTGTGCAAAGTCTGACCAAAGTTTGTTCTACGAATTTGAATTCTATTTATTATCTCTAAGTCTAGCACTTGCCTTAAAATAGTAATTAGCTCTTCCCTTGCGATGGCAACGCAATTTATAGGAATTTATATTTAAATGTTGTGGAATATTAGAATTTAGTGTAAATAATTTCTTCTATTATATATGTATGTGTATAGAAAAATGGGCATGTAGATAATTTACTTATACGAGGTGTGAAAAAAAAAATATCGGGATTTTTTTTCTAATATAGAATTTGTTAATGAGTTGAAGTAAAGGCAGTTCCCAGCAGATATTTATTAAAACATACATAGTTATATATACATACATACATATAATATACACAAAGTCACATATAATAGATACAATATTTAAAAGCTATTATCCCTATTATAATTATAATAATATATTTTTTAAATTTGTCGCAAACTAAAAAAATCCCCCATATATGAAAAAACAGCTCGAGTTTTTCGAACTGTGCGCCGTTTGCAATGGCAAATTTCGACTTAGATTAAACCAGAGCTGTAGGAGCTGAGAGCCTACAAAAGGGAGAGAGTTACTTAGAGAGACAGAGAGAGGGAGAGAGATACAGAGAGAGGGAGAGAGAGAGGATGAGAGGCATGTCTGGCTGTAGCTACATATGCTACCAATCTGTACACTTTATAGAGGGTCAGTAATCTCTAAATGAAATACGCACTTTCTTCAAGTGTACTTTGAAGATAGTTGAGCATTCAATGCGAGCATAGAAATTGCAATGGATTTTCTGAGCGCTCAAGGGCACTCCATTTCCGGCATGCCATAGACCGATTTTCTAGCATATTTTATTGTTATTTTTTTTCTATTATATTCCGGATCGCTGACGCACTCGTCGTATTGATAAGCGTTTTAAGTATAACTGCCTCAATCTTTGACTCACCATGTTGAGTATATTTAATATATATATATATATATATATATATGTATATAATCTATGAGGCTGTAGCTATTTTCGAGTGCCATCATTTGGGGAAAAAAAACTCTCGTTTCAGAGCCATGAATTAGTTGAGAATATATACTTATCGAGAGCGGTTGTACCAACAGACTGAGCATATAACAAAAATCGAAAGCTCTATTTATATAATATATATGCACCTACTACAACAATAACAATAATAACAACAACAACAACTATTAAAACTGATAACATTCGAATCAACTGGAAGCTTAACTAATTAAATTTAGTTAAGGGCGAGCAACGAGCATCACTTTCAATTCGATCCCAGAGATCACTTATCAAATTATATATATATATATAGAGAACCTAGAGAACCTTGAACTGGAAATGTTTGTCAGTGTTGTTGTTCCGTGTTTCCTCTTGGTGTTATATTGCGTGGCACCTGTGCTCTCCGTATCCAGCACATGGGGCAATATTTCCAATTCGGCGCAATTGTTGCATGCCGAAAACGTTGTCTACCCCTCGTCGCCAGAAAAATATGTCGAGCACGAAATCAAATATCCGACAAATGTGAGCAGTGCTATCTAAATATATGTGATAAATTATCTCAAGAATTCACTAGTGTTAATTAAACTCGAGTCGCATGCCGTTCGCCCACTCATTCATTTTCCCGCCCAATCAGACATGGATTTCTCGCAGTGTATAAACACATGCCACATGTCTCGGTTCGCTATATTCCTATTGCGAATCCGAGCATACATATGTTGATAACCCCGATTTCAATTTGCAATTCGGCCAACAGTTTGACAAGTTTTCTATGTTTTTTGGCAAATTGAAATATTTAATTAGCAATTAGTTTTAAATAAGTGTGAAAATTTATATGCACAATAACACATATAGTATATATTCGCATTTCCGGTTTAGTTTTGTTTTTTATATATAGAAAGAGGACTGCAAATCGGAAGAGAGCTCTCAATAAGCTCGCTGCTTTTACAGCTATTAAATTTCAATAGTGTTTGATTGTAGATCGATAGTTCCTGTGAATATATAAATTTATATTTTAATGAAATTAATATATAGATATATATAGATCTATAGTAAATAATTACGTCAACTGCAGGCTTAAAGATTTATATTCTCCAATAAATAGATATCATAGATAAAACCAAGAATTTCTGAGCGTATACAAAAGCCTTTATGTTAAATCTAAAACTCCTATGATTTCCTGGTGATTATTCATACATTTTGGATTTGGGAAACTTCTCTCATTGAGGAGCGTGCATTATAAAAGTCGTTAATAAATAAATCTGTCATAGTAAATCTTATAAGCGCTGCTTTTACGCAGCATTTTACGCAGCGGCTGCGCTTGTAAAGTGCGCAATAAGCGAAGCACGTGCTTATGTGTGCGAAAAAGCGTCGAATGGATGGACTATAAGAGCAGAGTACTATAGTGTCTGGGATATATGTATATACATACTTCAAGCTGCAACTTGGATAGATTTTCCTTGCAGATTTTACATAAAACATAGCAGTTATAATTAATATAGAATAGAAATATTCTAAGTACAAAACATAAAAAGCTTGCAAGAGTTGCAAGAGATGACGTGCTCAGCATTTTCTAAGAGGTGTGTCCCCAATGATACCTTAAAACTCTGTCCTCCACAGTTGAATAATCGAATAGATATTCATTAGCTTGCGTCCCACATATAAGCCACAAATTTGAAGCAGCCAATTAAATGTGTTAATTACATTAAAGATGATACAAAATCAAGGGAAATTTCCTCAAATCACGCCCACGCTTTTCGGGAGTGTTAATGGAACTGTAAAGTTATCTATTCAATAATTTGCCCACCCATTCATATGTCTAACTCAAATCATTTATTCATCCAGCTTATATCAATCTAATTGTATTTAACATAAACAAATATTCATGACGTAAAAAAATAAAAGTAAAATATAAAATCATTGCCTAAAAAAAGAGTAAAAAACTAATTCAGGAAATAATTGAAAGCCATGCAAATGTGAGAAGTTAAATAGAAAATAAATATCTAAATATGAGAGAATTTTATAAATGTAAAAATATTCTTTAAAATTCAATTTCATTGTAAAAGCAACAAAAAACTTTTTACTGTAAATATAAAATGTATAGGCTAACTATTTCCGTCTCTTTCCTTACATTTCAAATGGCTATACATCCATCCATTGTACATATTCAGAAACTAATCTTATTCACGCACGTAAATCCTGTAAATAAATCGCTTGTAAAAAACGAAAATACGCTAAAACGAAATGAAATGAATGAAACAAAGAGGCAAACAATAAATATTTCGGTTTCGCACACAATTTAGGGAATTGGTAATGGGCGCATCATAACGGGAATACGAGCGTTCGACCAGGTGACAAACAACACGGGAGGCCATGCTACGATTTATTCTGGAGGCCCTGGTTTTAACTTTGTGAACATCAAACTACAATCGCAGTATAATTATGGCTTAATATTTCGTGTTGAAATTTATGGCAAATAAATAAGAAATCAACAACAATTTTGTATAATAAAATATATGGAAATGTATTAAGAATTATTTGTTAAAAATATTATTGGTTTTTATAGTAATACTCACATAGTTTTCAATAGGTGTTAAAAAACATGATATATTTAATATAAATTCACTAATCAAGCGGAAAGCATTGACAAGTTATTGAATTAAATTGAATTGATTGAATTGATTAATTGATTAATTGACACAAATAAATACTAAATACATTAGGTGATATTATTTTAAGCGATTCTTATGCACCCCAAATTTCCACCTGAGACTTGATGGCGCCGCCACGTGCCGAAGTGAATTTGATTGTGACAGATTGGCTGCCGACACCGCCGGACGTGATCTCAGCTGTGGCGCCTCGCAACCGTTTCAGATTTGTAATGGCTATGTACTGGATAGTTTTTGGTGCAGTCGGGTCCTGTGTGAGCGTGTATGTCTTTGTTGTGGTGCCCAACAGAGTCTTGCCTCTGTAGACGACCTCGCGGGCGATCAGCTGGCTGGCTGCCACCTTCATGCCCCAGACATAGTCGAATCCTTCGCTGTTGGTGCCGCCTAGTCCATGGCTCGTGCCGACGCAGGCGGCTATGGCAAGTATGAATGCAAGACTGATCTTCATTGTATTTGGGTTTAAAGTACGAATTGAACTGATGCTACGTCTGGCGCTGTCTCTCACTTTTATACAACGACTTTCGAACGAGAAATCGCTGCAAACACTTGGCCTAGTTTGATAATTAAACTTTGACAGCACCTTCGAAGGTAATGGCATCATCAGCTGCATTGGCATGCCTATCCATAGATAACAGGCAGACATACAGACCGCATAGATTCCATGATTCCCCGAGATGTTGAAACAGCTGTAACTGTTCTTCGGCCTGATGTCTCAACCGTACATAAAATAACTTGAAAAACCCGTTTATTAAAAACGAAAACTATGTTTCTGAAGGGAAAATTCATTTGTTTTCGTTCCATATTAAGCAAACGCCAGCAATGCTAGATTACAAATTAAAAAAACAAAATCATCACTGATATCTATCAATAGATAACTCTGTGAGTGTACGAATTTACTTTGTCCAAAATTACCGAGTTTGAAAAACCGTTAACTGAATAGAGTTTCCTAAAACAATATTGAGTTTTTCTCAATAAAAATTATATAATCAGTATCGATGCTATTATGAAATATGTAGACATTTGTGCTTATGGTATATCTTAACAACATATTTAAGACATATTAAAGAACTGTAAAAGTCAACAAGAAATTTGTTATATATTTAAACAGAGTTACGTAAAATATGAATAGAATAATAGTTGTGAATATACTATAAAACGTAAACTTTGTTAGTGGAACCGGGGGAGCTCTTTCATCCTTTGGCTTAACCTCTTTCCAAGGCGTGTGATAAGTGAAATATAAGCTGCAAAGGATCTCCACTTCTAGAAGAGATTTCTAGTTTAATATAGAATCCTTTTTTTCGAGAGAAATTGGCTAAAATGTGAAAGGTTTTGGTTGAAGGTCTCCTAAGAATAGCTGCGGTACAGGGAGTATGACATCGTATTAGTAATTTCTTTTATCAAATATTAACAGCAATATTTAACAACTTATTTTTCCGTCTTGCAGCTGTCTGGGATTACGCTCGCCATTCATTGAATTTGGCCCGCATGACGAGGTGCTGGCCAATACGAGCATCCCGCTAAATATCACCAAAGACGAACAGGCCTACATGCACCAGGAGGGCTTGCGCAAGCTGGGCACGTTCATAAAGCCGGTGGATCTGCGCGATTCGGTGACTGGCTATGTGAAGGCCGATCTGACCAAAAGACTGGACACGCCCAGTGCTCAGGCACGGCGCGTGCATCCGATTCAGGAGGAGATGGACCAAAAGCAGATCATTCTGCTCGACGAGGACACCGATGAGAACGGTCTGCCGGCCAGTCTAACGGACGAGGATCGCAAGTTCATTGTGCCCATGGCACTGAAGAATGCCTCGCCAGAGCGTTGGTCTGCCCCGAACCGAGCGTCGGTGGCTGCCAGCACAATGCCGACGCGCTCCGCCCTGGCCATGGCCACGCGACGTCGCAGCACGACAGCTCAAACGAGCACAACCACAACACCCGATCCGACATCAAATATCGATGATCTGAAGAAGCACATACTCTTCCTGCACAACATGACGAAGAGTGACACCAACTTTGAGTCCAAGTTTGTGAAGTTCCCAAGCCTACAGAAGGAGAAGGCAAAGCAGTCAACGGGTTCGTCTGCGAGCGCCAAGCGGCCCCAGCGACCGATACTCCAGTATGCCGCTCCCATAGCGCCGCCCACACGCAAAGTACCTCAGGGGGCGCACACGCCGGGCCAGAAGCCATTCGGTGGCTACTATCACAACGAGGATGAGGCAAACAGTTTCTTCCATGCGATTGGCGGCGATGGTGGCACCATGGATCGCAGCAAGGAGCGCGCCAGTTTCGATACGGTGCCGCAGGTGCATCTGCTCAGTGAGGAGCAGACGACTACGGCGAAAAGCATACCCATAACAACCACGCCCACTCCGGTGGACACAACATCGAAGCGAACTACCAAGCGGCCCGTGTGCTTGCGCAATCCCGACTCGCCCAAGTGTGTGCGCCAGCGCCAGCGCGAGGAGCAGCAGCGACAGCGTGAGCGCGACGAATGGTTTCGCGGCCAGGCCGAATTTATGCGGCCCCACTATGAGCCGGTCGTACAGACGATAAATAACACCAAGCGCTTCGCTGTGTCCATTGAAATACCCGACTCATTTAAGGTCCAACCGCTCCCAACCGACGATGCGTCGGAGCTGCAGATTCTGTCGCGTGTCGCACGCTCACAGCACAAACGGCGCTACGCCAGCGGCACTCAAGCAGATCAGGCGCCCATCTCAATTGAGAGGCCCGCGCCTGCGGGCAATTTCTTTGCCCATGACATCATAATGACTTCAGCGGGCGTCACCAACGATCGCGAGTTCATGCTCGCCAATATGCAGCAGCTCGGCATGATGGTGCCGAAAGAGCCAGACAATGAAACCACACCAGCCCCGCCGGCTTATTCAGAAACTATAGACTTAAATCCTGACAACTGTTACACAGTTGACGGCCTTACGTATGGACAGAAGAAACTCTGCGCCTTGCACACGAGCGTTATGCCGGCGATTAGTCGGGGAGCGCGTGCAGCCATACAGGTAAGTGAATGAGAAAGCTACGTTTTGAAAAATATTTAAATATTTCTTCCTTTCTCGTTCCTTCTCCAGGAATGCCAATTCCAATTTAAAAATCGACGTTGGAATTGCAGCACCACAGAAGATGTTTCGGTGTTTGGGCCCATGACTGGCTTAGGTAAGATAAAGTGTATAAAATGTGTAAAATATATATAAATAAATTCAACTTCATTTCAGGCTCACCAGAAATGGCCTTCATCCATGCACTGGCTGCAGCGACTGTGACCAGTTTTATAGCTCGCGCCTGTCGCGATGGCCAGCTGACCTCGTGCGGCTGCTCGCGGGGCTCGCGACCCAAACAGCTGCACGACGACTGGACCTGGGGTGGCTGCGGCGACAATCTCGAGTATGCATACAAGTGAGTATGAACATAATTGAATAGCCTGTACAATTATAATACTCTTGATGGGATTATAAACATAAGAGTTAGTATGGTTAATGTGAATGGTTTTCAGGCAGCAAAAGGTATTCAGACATCATTAGATATAAGTTTATTCCTGATTTGTATAGTTATGAATGTCCAATTAGCCATGTCTGTCTGTCCTTACGCCTGTCTCTCGTCCAATATATATCTCATAAACTTAATAGGCTCGATAAGAATACTTTTTGTATGTACACAAATTAACCATGAAATATTTCCTCCTCTTATATCGTTAGATTTGCAACAGATTTTATTGATGTACGTGAGAAGGAAACGCGTCGCGGCACTCGCGGTGCTGGCAACCCCGAGCGTCGTGGCACGCCACAAAAGCGCAAGCAAATCGAAACGAATGGAGCAAAGGAGGCTGGGAAGTCCGACTTCAATGTGACAGCTCCGAAAGCGACCAAGAAATTGCATTTGGTTAATGGAGCTGTGGCAGAGAGTAATTCAACGACAACCGTTCTGTATGAGGTGCAGCCCAAAGCCAACAGCAAAATGAAAGATCAGCCTGTGGATAAGACACCAACAACACGTCCACCATCGTCGTCGTCGTCATCATCGCTTGCACCGCCCAAACAAGAATACGAAGCCGCAGACGGAGATGGAGGTGGGACAGAGCCGCGCATTAACCCAGACGATTTGTTGGAGCTTCAGGAACGCATTACAAAAGAAATTCTGAATTCCAAATTAAAGGAAACAGAAATGCTTGAGCTACAGGTAAGAAAAAGGTTTACAATACAAAATGTTACTGATATTAATTAATATACTTAATTGAAAACAGGAAAAAATTAATCGGGAAATTTTAAACTCGAAACTTTTCCTCGGAGAGGCGAACAGCAAGAGGCGTAAACGCAAGCGCAAAAACCAACGGGCTGTCAGTGCAGATGCGCCCATGCTGCCCAACATTAACAATAAGGCTCGAAGTCTAATGAATTTACACAACAATGAAGCTGGCCGCAGGGTAAGTTTAGAGCAGAGGTATATTAGAATGAATGGGGTCTGGCCTAAGGTTAATAGTAGAATGTATAGTCATGAAACCCGGGCTTAGAAAATGTTATGTATTTGAATACAGATCAGTTCAGATTAGATCAGATGTGGGCATCAAGCAGTTGAGATTGGTGAATAAAGAATTGACCATTAAGTATATAATATATTTTTCATTTACAAATGGTGCTTAATTTGATACTAATATACATGTTCCTCTATCATTCATCCAATTAGGCGGTGATTAAAAAAACACGCATTACCTGCAAATGCCATGGAGTCTCAGGCTCTTGCAGTTTGATTACGTGTTGGCAGCAGTTATCTTCCATAAGAGAAATTGGTAAGTATTACTAAGAATGAGTGAAGGAAGGCGACAAGGAAGGCGTGACCAATAATTGAATAATAAATATATTTGCTATATATATTTATTAAAACGATTTAGGAACGCTTATACTTGGGATTTATGTACTCGTTATACTTATTTTACTAAGTTTGATAATACTCGTATACTAATTTGTTTTATTTTACACATCTATTTTAGGTGATTATTTGCGTGAGAAATATGAAGAGGCTACAGAAGTGAAGCTGAATAAACGCGGACGTCTTCAGGTTAAAAACAGCGAATTTAAGGTTCCCACTGCACATGATTTAATTTATTTAGATGAGAGCCCCGACTGGTGCCGAACAAATCGTCTCTTGCAATGGTCAGGTAAGCAATCGATTATCATTTACAAATATGGTATATTCAAATCTAATGGACTATTTTACTTTCCCTTTTTGTTTAGGCACGCACGGTCGCGTCTGCAATAAGTCGTCATCGGGTCTGGATGGTTGCGGTATACTCTGCTGTGGCCGAGGGTACAACACCAAAAATATTATTGTTCGTGAGCGCTGCAACTGCAAATTCCACTGGTGCTGCCAGGTTAAATGCGATGTATGTACAAAAGTACTCGAGGAGCACACTTGTAAATAGGTTTTACTATAGGCAGCACAGAAAATGTCCATATGATCACGATTCACATAAACATAAATTTAAACATATTTATATATATATATCGATTTAGAATATTATTTATTAAATTATATAAGTAACATGTCTGTTGCCTAATGGATTTTTTTCTTAGCCACTCAATTTATAATCAAGAAGGTTATACCATAAGGTTCGATTAGCGTATATATGTTGTACTGTATACACGAAAAAACTATAGATTAAACAAATTAGCAAGGTAAACAATTCGAAATTTTTATGATTATGAAAAAAGCAAAACAAAAACATATTAAATTGGAAAAATTTTCAGGAACTGATTTTATTTTGAAATTATGCTGTATCCTTAATTGTGGCTTATTTTTGGATCTCTGTATATGTACATATGTATGTAGCTTAACATTTGAGATTATATTTTTATTATACCCATACATATAATTTCAAAGCATTTTGAGCCAGTGTATGTCTATGAACATAGAATTGTCACAATGGTATGTATATAGAACTGTGCTGAGCGAGAGGAGTTGAGCGTGTTAAAGGATCGAATCTTTCCTATTAACTAGATAACATCTCGTTTAGGTGACGCAGAGCGCCTTTTAGTTAATTTGTAGACAAAGACAAGTTATTTTCATATATTATATATCCCGGTAAGGTTGATTTTATTATTAGCAAGGTATACTGGTCTAGTATATAGATATTGTTCGGGCCCATCATAAGTCAATGGGAAGCGAGGGCAATGGATCACTGGAAATGCGCTTCGTTCGCGGCGATATCTGCGCATATCTCACACTTTCTCTATGCGGCAGGGCTGAGCGACTCTGGTAATTGTTGAATATTTTAGGTGAGGGCTGTGCGGGTGCTTCGACTTGCGGTATTTTATCAAATGTTATATATGTCGGAATAACTTCGTAGACATTTTGATTTATATAGCTGTCGCTGCTGGCCACGCTCTCCATTGAGTTGCGTCGCGGTAAAAATGAGCAGAACCTGCGTAAGTGAAATAGAGATTAAATAGATAGCAATCAAGCAACGACTTTGGGATACCCTGTACTGGAAGAGTAACAAGTCTCTTACCTATGCTGGCTGCTGTGTTGTGTCATAGACTTTTCCTTGTAATGGAACTTCTGCGCTGCTTTTGATCGGGGTAAGACGATTATTTCGTCCGAGTTATGTTTGGGCTTGACGATGCGTTTGCTGCCCTTTAGCCAACCTGGTTTCTTCTTCAACACCAAATACATGGACATAATGCCGATTAGCATGAAGACAACGACGCCGAGCACCATTAAAGAAATACCCTGGAATAAATGGAAAAGATAATTTAGAGAACGGAAAACCGTAGAGATTTAAGCTATAGCAGATATATGATATATACAATCAATCGATCGGTCAATAATATTTATTGCTTAACTCTTTCAAAAAGCCATAGATGATACTATACTGAATATTTTCATCCCCTTTGGAATATTCTAATATTAAAAATCATTAATCTGGTATATAAAATCTCATTTCTGATTCACTCACCTTGGCCAGCATCCTTTTTGGGGACCAGGAATTATAGTATGTATTCAGATTGCTGCCAACCTTCACGGACTTGCAGCTGAAGGGCGAGACGGTGTTGTGGCCATCCACGACCAGGCAGAAGGTGTACGCCGCATTTGGTGCGAGGTTTGTGACAATCGTTTGCAGTGGAATGGTGAAATAGCAGCCGAGACCGAACTCATCGGGCAGCATCTCCATCTTGTAGTATTCCTTTGTTGTCTTCGAGAACCAAAAGGCGCCAACAGAGCTCTGACTGTCGCTCTGCTCCACGCTGATTTTCACAGTGACTCCGCCAAAGTATGTGGGAATGAAGTCTATTTGCGGCCATCTGACATTGTTCGTGCTAGCCGAACACTTCATGGGCACGAGCTCGCTGGGATTAACAGTTGAGGCCGTTGAGATTGTTGGCAGAAAGTTGTACTCGGTCGTTGTCGTTGGAGTAGTAGTAGTCCTCCAAGTCGTCGACTTGGAATTCGTCGCTGTCATCGTCCTAGTGGTCATCATAGTCGTCGTCCTGGTAGTAGTAGTGCTCCAAAATGGAGTTGTTGTTGTTGTTAGTCTTGTGGTCGTAGTTGTTGTAATCATTGGCGGTGATTGTGCGGTATTACCAGAATCATATTTACATATACGCTCATCGAATACCGAATAGTTTAGAAACTCCTCTGGCGAGGCACAAATCATATCCCAATTGTCGTTTTGATACACAAAGATCTCGTCCATTTCCTGCTGCAGCTGGCAATCGCAGTGCCAGTTATTGTTGTTAGCGTAAATTTTCAAATTAGGCGAAATCTTCTGTATACCGAATATTGTCTTGGATATTGTAATAAGTTTATTGTTCGATATGTCCAGTAATTTCAAATATTTCATGCCTGCATAGAGAAGAAAATGAGTTGATTAATGAAATAAAGGATTGTTTAAAAAGTATTGATAATAATTTGTTACACGATAATCAATTCAATATTATATTAATCCTCGAATAGAAAATTCGTAATACCTCAAACAAAGTTTGGTGTTTACCTTGAAATATATAGCTGGGCAAATACATGATATTCGAGTGGGACAGAAAGAGTCGCTCGACCATGGTTAGTTTCTTGAACGTGTCCTCCAGTAGTTTATCGGCAAAGTTGTTGTGGCTGAAGTCGGCATGGACGATGGCCCCTAGATTGTGTCCAATGCCTGTCACATTGCGTATACAATCTATGCCAACTTCCAGCCTGAGGTACTCAATTTGGAATATCATATTATCCAAGAATTCGGGATGTATACTTTCCAGATCCCTATTATGTTGAATGATTGTGATTTCCTTCAGGTCTGACGAGATGTTCGCAAAAACGTCCTTATTTAATTGCTCCAGTTGAAGTTCTTCGAGCATGATGTGATAGAATATGCCCCCGCCAAAGGCTCCGTTCTGAATGTATTTGATATTTGAGATGGCCAGATATATCATTTTGATCTTGTTGGTGTACGTGGACAAGAATCCGACTGGCAATGAATCATTAACAAATTCATAGTTGTACAAATATAACTCGTCAATGATATCACACGGAAGGTTCTAGAAAATAATTTGATTCGCTTGATATGATGGTAAAGGTGATCAATGAGCTGCACTTACGTTATTTGAATTCGCTAAAGCCTCCGATATATCATTCGCAATCTCTTGCTGCCGTCCACTGGAGCAAATAAGTCTGCACTGAATTTGGATGCATCTTGGTGGCAAATAATCGCCGCTCTCCACATCATCTAGAAAATAACTGAAAGAAATATATATTATATATATATATATATTGTAAGAATATACATTAGATCTTTTCAGAAACACAATAAAAGGCGTATTAGTATTATATTAGATTATATTATATAGCGATTATGCCTTTATGCCTATAGCAAATCCATCAATAGTTAATTACGCCATTCAAACGGGTTTCATTTCGCATGATAAACGTTGCAAAAATCCATATAAAAAGTGCTTCCAATTTTGCGCATTTCACGAAACAGAATAAACAAAATACAATAAAATGTTATCAAAATAAATCTAGTTATATGTGCACGATGCATGCCACATCATAAAATCATTTATCATTTTATCATATTTGAAGATTAGGGCATATGAGAGAGTGCTGGACTAATAAATACCCTGCTATAGGAATATATTAATATAAAAATGTTATTGTAAATCATTTTTAGATTTTCGTTTGTGATTTTGATTATTTTTCTTGCTCATTTAAAGTGTAGTGCTGCTCTACTCATACAAATTTGAAAAGTATTCATTTATTAAACTATTTGCAATCTCTCACTCAACTAGATCTAAATCTTGCGAGGTTTAGAAATCGTATTAAGGAACAGCTAAATGAATAAAAAGCTTTCAATCAGGTTAATTTATGATTAAAATTCACATATTAGCACTACATATGCATGTTAGCTCAACTAATTCTATGCGCTGTATACCCTATCCAATCGCTTCAGTGCATAAAAACAATCAATAATTCTGGTTATATAGATTATTGTGATATTTTTATATATACAGTACCTGATATTTTGTAATGCTTCCTTGTACTTGCTGATTGCGTGATGTATATGTAAATTGCCATTTTTCGATTGCGGTTGCTGAATATAGCGAATATCCTGGGCAAGTGTCGAGAAGTTAGCCCAGACATGGAATAGGTAGAATATGATCAAGGTTTTCGATTGACAGAGCCCCAGCATAACAGAGAACTTGATAGATCGAGCTGAGATTGTTTCCCGTATTATTTAGCCAATTACAGGGGCTATAAGGCGACTCGAACAGAAAGGTATATGTTTTATGTGTATAGTGTTTCATGAGCAAGCTATTCGAACTAGTTTTAGTCGCGAGCGCCAATGGTTAACTGAATACTAAATACTCGATAATACCAGCGCTAATGCCATAACATTATTCCTATCACATATTTAAGTAGTTCGTGTACTCGACGAGGCGATATCAGCTACAGCTGTATTGATTTTCTGATCCATTAATATGACAGCCGAATTGATAGCAAAATCACCCGTCTGGGTTTTACTGAGAGAACAAAACAGAAAAATCTAAACTAACATGGATACACATAATGAACTCCACGAAGCTACCGAATTTGTTATAGGTATTGTTCAGGTGTTTGGGAGGCTCTAACCGAAAGTGTGCATAGGCACAGTGAGAGCTGCTTCTTATATAAAGTTGTTGATTCTTATAAACTGTTTATATTTATATGTACTATTATGTATGATCTATACGTATATAGAGTTAATATAATTATTATTATATATATTTTTTATTCATATATTTGTATTATATATATTTTATTTTTTTTAGATCGAAGCCTTGTTAATTCCAGATAGTTCTTGGACAGGCAATAAATACATATAATTTTATGGTAATCCTAAATTTAGATCAAATCAACATAAAACATAAATAATCATATTTTAAAATAATTTTTATTTATATTTCAAAAACAGTTTTGTTTATAAATTGTATTTATACATTTATTTTTATATATTTATATATTTATATATATTTAAATATGGATATTTATTGTATAAACATACTTTCACAATAGGTATGTATTTATATGCATATATGTATGTATGTATTTTATAAATCTCTGCCAACTGTACCGCATTCAAATTTGTTTTGCGAACTTTTCACACGATAAGGGTTGCAGATCCATGGTTAGGGAATTTTTGGAATTGCGCTTGGGCAATGGTGGTGGCGAGTTGGGTCTGTCGACACCCTCGCTAAGCTTGCGGCATTCATTGAATTTCATCGGCATCTCATATTCCATGGCCTGTGTATTAGTGATGCTAGTGAAGCATTCATCAAAGCATGTGGACGACGAGCTCACGCTGGCCGAGTTGGGTACCTTAATGTCACTTGGCACGGTGGATATATCAGATGACCTGCTTGAGTGAAATAATCTACATTATGAACATATTTCTTAGGCATAAATGTAAAGAAAACTTACCTCTCAGCGCCAATACGAAATGAGCACTTGTCCTTCTTGAGCGAGCTTTTCATATATTTCGATTCGGCTATAGTTGAGACGACACACGTTTTATCCGATTCCTTGATGACGACAACATTCTTGGAGCCCTCCAGTAGATTGGGAAACGACTTGATGCCCAGATATGCAAATATAGCTCCGAATACAGTCGACATGAAAAATATCAGGCAAAGCATTCCAATCGTAAACTGTTTATCGGTCTCAACCTCAATGACGTCATCCACTTCATTGTGAACATGGGGCAGCGGGATATGCAGCGGCTGGCAGAAGAGCGGAGATACGACCACCTGGTTCTCCGCCATCATGCAAAAGGTGTAGGTGTGATTCTGCTGCAGCGGATCGGTAACCAAATAGGGATCTTCGTAGAGTATACAATTGTAGTCTCTCGGCGATGGTGAGGTGACGAAATATGTTTCGCTCTCTTCGTGTTCGGTAAACCAGATGATGTTCAGTCTAGAGGATACATCATATCCATCTATCGAGGCGCGCACAGAGTTATTTTCCAATATTTCCAAATCTAGATCATAGGTGGGTGGTTCAAAAACAAAGTGCTCAAATGCCGAAAACTCGGAGTTTTTCGGATTATCATTAGCTACATATCGCTTCTGACGATCTTCCATCGAATTCTCGTTCCCCGTCATAGCAATAGGCTTCGAGCAGCTAAACTGAAGTATCGGACCGTAAGGAATTGTTGGTTTTGCTTCATTATTATTATTATTATCGTTTGATGCTTTGCCATCATTATCTGTTGGCGTCTGATCTATTGGATCGGTAATCTTGTCCGTGTCATCGTCTGATGTATCGCAGCCCAGTTCTTTGGTAGTGAGCTCATCAAAGTTTTTGCCATACAGCTTCAATGGCATGCGACAGTATGGAGCACTTATGAAATAATTTTTCCTTTTATTATAGAACTCGATCATAGACCGTAGCTGACAGGTGCAGTTCCAGTTATTTGGCTCGACATCGAATAGACGTAGATTTTTACCCAGACCCAGCGAGTCCGCATTGAAATGCGTCAACAAATTGTGCTTCAGGTCGACTAAAATCAGCTTCTGTGCAATATGCTCAAAGGCCGAATCTTCGATGGCCGTTATGTAGCAGTATTTCAGATATAGATAGGTAACATTCGGGGTGGCGACGAAGATGTTCTTGGTCAGCGGACCACTGAAGTTGTTGTAGCTCAAGTCCAGGTGCAGCAATTTGCCCAAATAGATGTTCTCGAAAATATTCGAGCCGCTCTTGAAATTGATGCCGCAATTCATTCTCAGGTGGGTCAGTGTCGTCTGCACAGGCTGCAGCAGCGCCAACTGAATGTTGGGCACTTTAAAGTCGATTTCAAACTTCTTCAACGAGTACAGACCCAACAGGGCGCCATTGCTGACCTCGTTCAGCCTCAGATCCAGCCAAATCATGTGCAGCACCTTCGAAAACATTGGCGCATTGAATGCTCCGCTCTTGATCTTCGTCAATTCGCTTTTGATCAGCGCTATTCGCAGCACTGTCGCATTCACATCAATCCAATTGTTGTCTATATAATTCTGACTTTGATTCGTTACGATCAGCGAGGTAATCACTTCACACTCGCTCACATCAATGACGGCAGCTGCATCGGCATAGAGATCTCCGTTTTGCGAGCACTCGATGCGACAGCTGTCCTCATAGCAGCCTCCGCCCGCTGGCCCACCTGTAATTAGTCTGTAAGCAGCAATTTAATACAATTTTTATTTTCTGTAAATAATATATTATTTTACCCAAAGAGTTCAGCTGACGAGTCTAGCTCATTGTTCTCTTCTATGAAACGACCCAAGGCAGCTTCTATGTTGTGGGCATTTTCTGCGGGACTACACTCGTTTTTTATCCGAAACACAATGTATATAATTAGCGCTATTATTAATAGTCCAATGCATAGAGTCAATAAAAGTCGCGATAAGATTTTCGTGCTTAGATGTTCCACATTTTTGCCTTTTGTTTTTTTGGAGCTGAAATTATGAAGAAATTATGAAAATGAGATTATACGCATTTGTATATCAGCAAGATATATAATATTTATGTTCTTACTAAAACGGTAACTAATCATAGAGTAAGTTTAGCTTCTACTCACATTAATTTATCAGAATTAACTAGACTACCTTCATTTAAATTAAATTACATATATTAATATATATATTTATAAGCAATTGTTTGAGATTTACCGCAATGCATCGCAATCTGTGCTGCTATTTTTGTTCTCCATAGCACTTGGTTCCATCTGGGTTTTATTTTTGTTTTTCGGCAAAGCAGCTAAAGAGCTTTAACGCGGCTGTCAAGCCAAAACCAAACTGATTAATACAATATTGACAACACAGCATTTGCATTTGCCTTTTGGCTTATCGTTCGCATAAACTAGATATATTGATATATATGCATATGTATGGGTTGATAATGATAATACCTATTCATATGACCAATCAATAATACTATTGTTTTGATAACAACTAATGTTATATATGTATATATCATACATCAGCATGAATGAGTTATGGTTGATTAACTAATTATTCTATATTTATTTTAATGTGGGTTTTTTCAGCACAGCGATTAGTTCCGGAAACTTGAAAAGTCAGAGTTCATATATGTAGTATTATGATTGTAAAAGAATGTTCTCAGTAGATATTAAATCATCTCTCATATTTACTATATATATCTTGCATATATTCAAGACTTTTAATATAATAGTACCAAATATATAATACTAATATAGCTAGACGAATATGCCAGTACTTTGTAGTTTAGTAGAAACATATATGAATACTTTTTATATTATTTTATTCATAAAATAAAAAATTACAAATAAATAAATACATTTCATTTACTAAATAATTAATTAAAATTAGATCTTCGTTTAGTAAAGTTCTTCATACACCTCAAAGGATTCATAGGTATATGTATTAGGAATACTGGATATTATGTTTTTCTGCACGGACGGTGGTATGGATGGGGCACGTTCTGTGGGCGGTACATTGTACTTATTCGACCCTCCACGATAGAGTTGGGCTCCTTCCAAGTGCCGGTAGTACGATGCATATTCGTGAATGCTGGCATTCGGATTGGCATAGCTAGGAATTAAACAAGAATGATATATTAAGCAATGTAGCATACTTTTTGGGGCAAATTTTGTCTAGCTTACCGTATGGCATCGTACGCCTCCTTTTCGTATTCCCTTGGCAGCAGAAGCATTGTATTCGACTGTGATGTCGGGCGCAGCAGCCGTTTGCTGCCCCAAAGCCAGGTCGGTCGCATCCTGAGAATGGCGTACACAGCGAGTACACCGAGAGCCACACTCAGTAGCATTCCAAAGATTGCTGAAATTATTATTGAAACACTGTGTCTCTCGAACCACAGTCGCTGCCTGAGACAAGGCCTTGTGCGATGCGAACGGCAATTAAATGGAGAAGTCGTAGTTTTGTCTATAATCAGACAAAATACGTATGAAGTTCCGCAATTTAAGGAACTAATCTGTAATATTTTACTATTAAAGCTGTCAACTGAATTGCCATTATCAATTTCACGTTTATCCTTGGCATTTGAAAAATACACAATGCTCCAGACATCCGCCTTGAATTGAGACAAAATCACCTTGACCATATGCTCGGAATCATCCACAATTGTCATCTTTGCATTGTAGGCTATGGCTGTGCTGCCGAGACTCTCCTTCTGGGCATTCACACAAACCATCTCGTCATAGAGCAGAGAGTTTTCATCGTTTTCTGAATCGGTTGTCGCTGGTATATCCCATGGAGTGGTCCAGTCAGGTGTTATATTCGGCGTCGTCTCTGTGATCCATGTGGGTGGCTCAGTAGTTGTAGTTGTAGTTGTTGAACTAGTTGTTCTGACCGGAACTTGCGGCTTAGCTGAAGATTGCGTAGTTGTTGAACTAGTTGTTATGACCGGAATTCGCTGCTTAGCTAAAGATTGTGTGGTTCTTGGCGTTGTTGTTGTTACTATTGAAGTTTCGTATTTCGATTCAGTGGTGGATTCATATGAAGCACCTAGAGTATTAGCATCACTAATCAATTCTCGTGTTTTTCGTACAGACTCGAGGCAAGGCTTTATGTTTAAGAGCTCAAACAGATCCACATTGGCATAGCTACAATCCCAATTATTAGCCGCAAGATTAAGCTTTATATTCCTCTCTCTTGCAGCTAGTATAAACTGAACACTCAACTCTGTTAGCTTGTTGCCACTCAAGTCCAGATATCGAAGTTCGTTACTTGGATCAAAGTAAATACTTCTCAATCGACAATTCGCCAAGTTAAGATGCTCTAGAGCTGGCATACGCTCAAAAGTCTGCATTTCCACGGCTTCTCCGATGTTATTTCCGCTAAGATCTAAGACCTTTAAGTGTTCATAGGTTGCTTGACCAAAGAAATATGTAGGCTCATAGATTTTTCTCGTATACGGCAGACTTATCTTTGCGGATCTTAGACTGTGCGCCACGGGCAATAGAAGTCCTTTACATCTCAACGATTTTCTCTTATTGATCAGTGTAAAGTTGGAGAGCTGTAAGAGACCTCGAAGTGTTTCATTCGTTAGCTTCTTCAGTTTGGTATTAATTAATTCTAGATTTTGTAGCTTGTGCAAACTTTGTTGATCAAAGGCGCCGTCAACAATGTGCCTCAGTCGACAATTGCTTAAGACTAGGCTCTGCAATGTATATTCGCCGTGGAAGCTATTTCTCTTAATAAGGCCATTTGGGAAATTATAGTTCTCAAGGCGCAGTGCTAGATGATCCCGGCAATCCGTTTTATTCATGGCATGTCTGAAAATTAGTTGAATTAAATTTTGATTGTAGATCGGCACAAAGTCTCCATGAGATGTTGCCCTTGACAAGATCCTTGTGCTATCCTCATCAGGATCATATGAGAAATCAATATTGCAGATTATTAAAATAATAACAAAGGCAATTGCAGCTGGCTGCATTATGTACTTCAGCCATTGGGCTTTCCGTGGTTGATAGAGATGCTCGCGTTGCTTTCCAGCTTCATCGTTTTTCAGATCAAATGATTTGGATTTAAACATTATTCTGAATATTAAATGCGATGCCGATTGCCGTCAACCTTTCAACTTGTCCACATGACACTAAACAAGATTCCCAATTGAATGGTTAATTTATCAAATTAGTCAAGCCTATTATCAGTGATGAGGCTTATTACGCATTATAATTATTATTATTAAAATCATATTGATTAGATAACAGAATTGGCAGAGACAATTCGTAGAGATATGTATTATAATACAGTATGTTGATATGAAGTCAAGCAAAGCATAATTAATGCTAATCAATACAATTAGATTTAATCAGTATTTCTAAATTAAAAACATAATAATCGCATTATACATATTTATATGAAAATATGCAAGTATTCATTGATGTGTTGACTTCACAATTTATTTAAAAACAATTTTTTTCTTTTGTATTTGAATAGGTAGTCAAATTTAAACAAACAGAAATTAAAGTCGATCGGAGACTTATTCGATTGTACAAAGTATAATCGATAGTTTAATACTAACATTTATATCGATTATTAAGCATGGGTAATTGTAACAAGAAGCCATCCCCATTGTTTTCTTTGTTCTCTCATCTCTACTTTCGTCTACATTATTGCCAGAGATAGTCATAAAAACAAACAATTAGAGAAGCCGAACATACCGAACAACAAAGCAATTTATTTTAATTGAAACCATATAGTACGCTGAAAACTGCGTTTTAAAGAATCCGTCATATGTTCGGCTGACGTACAAAGACTTGAAAGTATGTATTTAATAGCAATTGTAGATATGTGCATACATACATATGTATATGTCGAAATTGCAGACTATTTTAGATACACAATATAATAGGGTGTGAGTTTAAAGAAAATATTATGAATTCCAAAGTTAAAAAAGTGTTTCCATTTAGAATAATTTACATTTTCTTATAAACTAAATGTATATAAAGACAGACGATTGAGCCGGCTCCTCATAGTACCAATTACCAATTATGGAAACCTTACATTTCTAAGCTCAAATTAAAATGTTGATCAATTTTTCTTATTCATAAATTTCAGAGTAAAAATGCCTACAAATCAATGGCTGCACGGCTATTTTGCGAAACTAAATCCGCTGGCTGAGAAGATAGCGTTTGATATGAGCGAAGTGATTTCTGCCTATGATCACGTTTGGCTAACCCTAACTCCAGCTGAGCAAGAAAATATTTTGAATGATACCATTATAAAACCGGAAATAACTATAAGATATTATAGTAACTCGTTAAGCTCGAGTACACAATCGAGTACCCAATCTCGTAAGGACTCGGATCCTCGATCGAACAAGAAAAAGGTGACAAAAGGCCAGAAGAATTTAATATATGGATTCGATAGATTGAATCTATGTACATTTATTCAACAAAACGTCGGTCTAAAGATTCTCCATGACGAAAATATTGGCGACTATCGGGATGAACATTCATTTCCATTTAGTTATAAAACGAAATCTCAAATGAATCTAAACGAACTTGGAATATGCAAAATTGTTTCAATAGCAAGTACACCGAAAAAGATACCACCGTTTCAAACAAAAACTATTTCCGAGCCTAAAGCTCAGCCAGAGCCTAAAACAGAGCCGGAACCAGAACCAAAAGCAGAACGAGATAGCGTTTATCAGAACCAAATAAAATCGCCATCGAGGAGGGAGGAGGAGGAGTCTACGAATAGGAATATAAATAAGTGTACGGAGCCGATCAACTTGATTGCCGTTGAGAAGTTAAATCTACTATCGAATTTCGGATCTAAGAACACTTTGTTAAGCGTTTCCACGGATTCAAACGATTCCGAAAATGACACCAAAGACCAGCACTCCGAAAACTGTAAACTATTGCCAGAAAAAGTGCAAATGCCTAAAGGATTTGACTTCCTAAGTAACTGGTAGCCTAATCGAATTTTTGTATGCATTAACAGTAACTATACATATATCCTTACCTTTACCAAAAAAAAAAACTATTCAGTCTGAATATATCATTAGATATTATCACACAGCGTTTTTATAAAAGAAGCCATGTTTGGCATAATCTTATAAATATATAAACACACACCGCTTTATAAAAACATATTTATATACAATAAATATATAACATTAAATCAAGAATAACCATTTTTTCATAAACTTAAATTCAAATTTTATACCTAAATGAAAGTGTTTTAGTATATTATATATATGTATAAAGTATAGTATTTATTGCTTAAGTATTTTATTTTGCTCTAGCTGAAAAGCTGAAAGTTTTGTAACTCCAATAGGTTCACACAATATTTTGAGCTTAAAATAATACAGCCACACTGACAATGCTAAAAATCGTTTGAATTTGATTTAAGTAAATATAAAGCATGAATAATAACAATCATAAATTTTACAAGGAGCGTATAAATTAAAGACGATAGGCCAAGAAATTTACCCAAAACATGTAATACTTTGCTATCAAGCGAAATTAGGCGTTTGATTAAAGCATTTAAAAGTAATACAGGATACCATAAAATTCGTTCGTTGCCCGCGAAATATAAATTAAAATTATAGCTTTTGAATCCACATCAATTATACATATATATTCAAAATGTAAGATGAAAATGTCCATCTGTGCATGACAATGTTTTTATTATTGAATACAAAATCTAGTTTGTTTTTGTTGCCGTCTGTTTCAGATCATTGAATAAATAGACAAATAGACAAAATATTCATTGCTAATTGAATTAGCTAGATGAGAACGTACAATTATAGAATTTGGCAATGTTTCGCTATGAGGCCCACATTGCTACGAAAACCGCTAGATTATTGCCCCACAGCACGTGAGTGGAAACGTGTTCAACTCGAAACAGAATGATTGCAATTGTATTTATTTTTAAACTACAACTAAAAATACAAACGCAAACGCCGCCAAATGCTACAGCGTCGAACTATTCCCAACCTCTTATATGTGAGATTATAATTGTTTTATGATGTTTGTCAAAGCGAATGTACAGACTCATACACACATGGACAAACATATGTAATAGGCTGTTATAACATATTAATAAAGTTATGCTTTTATTTATTTTTGTGTAAAATATAAAATACCAATAATTTTTTTAAAGATAAATTTATAAAACTCTTTTTTATTATTCAGAAGTTTTATATTTTTTTAATTTATTTTATTTTATCTTTTTGATTTAATATTTTAAAAATTTATTATAGCATAGGTCTATTTAGTTCTACTACAATTGCGGTACTACCAAATTCGAATTGTTGCCTTATAGTCGCTTGTGGCTGAAATTCAAACGATTCACATATTCATAAAATGGACATAGCTGGGTCACATTTGCCAGAGAGAAAAACTACAATTTAAATAGAATTAGTCTAGTGGCTTGCTCTTGACCACAAAATACTGAGAGGTGTATCTGTGTGTACATCCACTAATTAAATGGATTTATAGTTGTTTATCTTCAATGAGCTCATATATACATACATACATATATTCATATACATATGTCTACATTTGTATATACATATAGTATGTATGACAGCAAGTGTAGCATCAGCTCTGCTCAGATCAATCATTCTCCAAGCATTTAGCATATTTAAAGAGCATTTAATTTTTAATTTATATTTTCACACATTTACGCATTTGTTCATTTTAGTTTTTTGCTCTTGTTTCGTTTCTTTCTTATTTTAAATAAATTGTAGAAAATTTTCGAGCCCTTTTAACCTGCTCATTCATGAGATTTACGAGGGTAGATTAGTTTTATGTTGTGTCTGTTGATTAATTTTTGTAATTTGTAACTTGTACTATTGATGTATGTATGTATATGTACGTTCATCTTATGTATGAGTGTATGTAATGAAAATAAAAGAATGATTGGGCCGATTTGTATAGCCTATTAATGGATTGATTTCAAATTAGTTTATTTTTACGCGTTAAAGCCTGTACACTACCCAGAGGATCAGTCTGTGTTCGAGTTAATCTAATAGACAAACTGGATGGATGATGGAGGGAGGGAAAAACAAAGATGTTGAAGGGATGCCGTCAACTTTTTGATAATTAAATTTTATCCTAGGGACTTGGGGCTAGGTTAAAGTAAAAATTTGTATTTAATGTAAATGAAAATCTTTCCTATGCAAAAATTACTATAACGGCCTTACGTATCTACCCGCATAAATATTTTGCGATATATTTATTGATTTTTATTAATTAATACAGCTTAAGCACAAAAATATTCTTCAAGTTTTCTTTAAATTAAAATTTAATAAAGATCTAAAATATTCTTTAAAAATTAAATTAAATTTGTTAGCCCTATAATGTGGTATTTTAAGCTTAAGAACTTGGGATTCTCATATTCGTACTTGGGGCTTTCATAGCTTTCAAACTTCTATTACAGCTTGTATGCATTTTAACAGTTTTTAGCCCATGCAGGGTATCTGCTCGTCAAATACACTCGCCTATACCTCGCACTTACTTGCTTTGCGTTGCAGTCGCTTACGATCATTTCTTTGCCGTGACGATTTATAGTGGTTTTTCATCGTCGACGTCACAGAAAAACGCTTTCACGCCATTTTGCGCGCAGCGAAATCAATTCGTTTCTACTTACTTATGAATACGTGTGCATACGTACAGATGTGGGAGTGTGCGTGTGTGTGTGTGTGTGTGTGTTGGTGGTGTGCACATACATGTACATATCCATAAATATCCATACACATATACAGATGTCAGAGATACGCGAATGCGAATGTTGACGTGCATGTGTCGCTACGTGTGAGTCCGATTTATGAATGTTTCCGTTC